TTTTTTTCATGCTAATCTTCTCTGTATCGTTTCCAATTCTAACGGATGCAACCACGCCTCTTTTTTGAAAGGCGTTGTCACGCTGAATGCTGAAGGCGTAAGGCGTCGTCACACGACTGTTCATAGGGGTCTCGCTCCACTACGCACCTTATGCAGAAAAGGCAAAAAATATGTCGGTGCATCTTTCCATGTTCTAGCGGAAGATGCATTCTCCTTCAAGCAGATTTTGTGAGAAGTGGAGCGAGAACCATAGTTCTCCGGTTAGATAGATATATATCGAAGACGTCGTAACGACAGCAAGCGCGATCGAACGGAAAGCATCTCGGAGTTTCTTAATTAACGATCGTCCTCCTCAATCTTCACCCCTGGGTCCTGGGACAAGGTCCCAATCGCCCGACCTGCAGGTGGGCGATACCGGCTAGAGCCTAGCGGACAGCCCGGAGCATCAGGGACCATGCCAACAGGGATTGGGGACAGCCGGTAGCATCAGGGACCATGCCAACAGGACCAATCCCTGCGCCTCCCCTCAGGTGGTGGTCTCCCCCCCGCTCCCCCCCGCTCCCCCCCCTCCTTCCCTAGGAACATCAGCAGACTCTGCTCAATGCCGATCGGGGGGTCCAGTGGTCCATCTCTAGGTGCCGGGCGCCAAGCATGCCCAGGAAGGTACATGAGGCCAATGGGGATTGAATCCACAACCTCCTGAATGGCAGCTGCGAGCCTTACCAACTGAGTTAGGCCTCTGGATGCCTCAGGGGTTGAAAGGGTCTCAGGGATCGAACGAAACGAAAAAAAAGAATAAAAATGACGGCGGACGCGCGGCATGTTTTGAAACCCTAAAGGCAAAAACAACTTGCGCCGGCGGAGAACCACGCGCCAAATCGAAATGAGCGATTTCGGTCCAAAAGTATCCGTTGGGGATTTCTTTTATTTGTTTTTTTGCCTTTCCCGATCTCTGACACCCAGTCTGACACCACGGCAGTCGGTACTTCCTTTGCGTTTTTGAACTCGGCGCCGTTTTCATTGCCGGCGCGTGTCTTTTTTTGCGCATTCGATACTCGAAGGTGACATGAACGTACTTACCCGAAAAAGAAAACTGAAGCAACAGCCAGGAATACCCAAAAAAGAAAACTGAAGCAACAGCCAGAAACAAAATTCCTGGAAGTGGAACTTTCTGAAGCTCGGTTTTCGAAAGGCCATAAAGTGGAGTGACGAGTCTCAGGGGTAGAAAGGGTTCTGGTACGGACTGACATCAGCGGGAAGAGTGGGGAGAAGGAATGGTGTGGAGGCCATCTACCCGTACTACCTGTAGTAATGTCGTCCATCCGGTGTCAACAGCAAAGCACCGCATAGCATAGCAAAGCACCCAATAGCATAGCAAAGCACCCAATAGCATAGCATAGCATAGCATAGCATAGCATAGCATGGCAGAGCATGCTCAGGGGTTGAAGTGTTCTGTTGTGGGCTGACACAGGCGGGAAGAGTAGGGAGAAGGGATGGTGTGCAGGACAGTAGGTGGAGTCGTCCATCTTGTGAGAACACCATAGCATAGTGTCGCATAGGATCGCATAGCATAGCATAGCATAGCGTAGCATAGCATAGCATAGGTAGGATCGCATAGCGTAGGATAGCATAGCATAGCATAGCATAGCATACCATGCCATGCTCAGGGGTTGAAGAGTTCCGGTGCCGACTGACACTGGCGGGGAGAGTGGGGGAAGGGAGAACGTGCAGGATAGTTGGCAAAGTTGTCCTTGCTGTGACAATAGCACAGTATAGCATAGCATAGCACAGCGTGCTAAGCTCAGGGATTGAAGGGTTCTGGTGCGTACTCACACAGGCGGGAGGAGTAGGGAGAACGGATGGTGCGGAGGACAGTTGGTGAAGTCGTCCATCATGTGAGAATAGCATAGCATAGCATAGCATAGCATGATCAGGGACTAGGAGTTCGAGTACGGACACAAGCGGGAAGACTGGGGAAGGTATAACGTGCAGGACAGTTAATTAATTCGTCAATCCTGTGACAATAGCATAGCATAGCATAGCATAGCATACCATACCATACCATAGCATGCTAATTTCAGGGTTGGAAGGGTTATGGTGCAGACTGACGAGGGGGGAGAATAGGGATAGGGATAGAGTTCAGCACTTGCAGGACAGTTGGTAAAAACGACGGTCCTGTGGCAATAGTAGGGCGTGTGACTAGCGACCAGACTACTCGAAACGGACTGAGGTCACTGAACGAATACTTCACACCGGCAAATTTCGGGTGAATATGCTAATGACAGTGGCGCTAGACTGTCAACTACCCTCGTCTGTGCGCACGAGTTCCCGCAGGATTCTTTTTTCCTTCTTCTTCTTCTTCTTCTTCTTCTTCTTCTTCTTCTTCTTCTTTCCTCCAGGGGGTGCTTCTATCACCTCCATAACTGGAACCCCCTGGGCACTGACTCGAAATTCAGTAGAAAAAAAGGGGAAAAAAAAAAAAAAAAAGAAGCTCCCGCAGGATTCTGATGCTGAGATACTTGGTGCTCTGGTAACTCCATAGCTGTCACGAAAAAACGAATCCAGATCAATCCAGAACCAACTCTCGTCGATCCATTCACACACACACACACACACACACACACACACACACACACACACACACACACACACAC